GGGTAAAACTCATTGGATCTGATTCCAGAATTATAAGCATCCTGGACTCCAGGTCCTCTTGACACCCTCAGGCTATTCACACATTTACAGGGTGTCTATTGTGACTATTCAGAGTCGTCAGTTTCGTCCACATTTGGATGCTAATAACCCAGTTGGCCCTCTGTCGGTAGTTCTAGGATGATACCCAGTTGGCCCCTCTTTGGTAGAGATAGGTATTTTTCAAGAWCCTGGTAGTCCTAGTGTTAAATCCCACCTCCTTGTCACCCCACAGTCATGGTGCTACGTGACTTTGGCTTGTTTTAGGTTTGAAGTCGACAGCTGAACTTTCTTAGCTCGTGTTTTTTCAGGTGTTGACGCTTGTTGGGTCACATACTGTAGTTCTTACCTTGCTGATCCGTGTTCATTGTTTTTTTTAACAAAGGCTGTTGCTTGCATGGAGGTGGTAAGAATTAAAACGTAACACTAGAACCAGCTGACAAAGAGGCTGGTCTCAGTCTGGCTTCAACTTCCTTGTTCTGTTTCAAGGTTGGTTTATCTTCAGTCTAACCTAAACAGCAGAGCATAGTTCAGTTAAGGGGTTCAGTGAGTGATTAACTGTTTTTACTGGTTAAACTGTATTTTCAGAAGGTTCTTTGAGTTTTCCTGTTGATGTGTCAAGTAAAAACATGTGTGAAGTTGGAAATACCTCAGAAGTTTCAGGATGGTTGATTGTGAGGAGAGGAGAATCCCACATGCAGGGACGATTTGCATCTATTTACTTATAAATGGAGGCTTGTCATGTGTGCTAATGTTGATCAGGAGGTACAGAATGGTGTGCTTAGATTCATGAGGACAGATTTTTGATTCTACGTTTTAGTAGGAAATCCACAAAAGACTTGAGGCTCCAGGTGTAAAATAACTTCCAGTAGAATAAAAACAGGACCAAACTGTAAAGCAGGGAAGATTTACAGCCCCCAGGGTCCTGGATAAAACCCACTCTGTGTGTCTGAGAGTCTGAAGAACTAATCATTTGTTCTGAGTATTAAGTTATTACATTCAATAAGTTATATTTTACCCCCACAGACAATACTGCTACTTATTTTGCCCATACTTACTGTATAGTTGATTTCATATTTACATGACAAACATTTATCCTCTGGACAAACAGAAGAGATGAACACGTCTGCCTCCATATCAAGCTCAGATCTCTGACTCTAAAGCTGCAGAAACTGAACTCTGATCGCTTCAACACAGATTAAACATGAGATTGAGGGGTGGCAGGATGTATTAAATCTAGTTTGTCTTTTTAAATAAGCAGCTGTTTGGAAACCGTGTCAGTTAATAAAACTGGTTCAGTGACATCACCCAGGTGGTTTTATTTTCCACCATGATGGAGAATCTTGTCCTCAGCTGCAAGCGTTTAGCAGAGTACTTACTGTGTCTGCCATGGACCCACACTAAAGTTTGAGTTGTGAGGTTTGAGTCTGGACTGAGTCAGCAGGATTCTGTCCCACATCTGTCAAAGCAGGGAGCTGTGGTCTTCATCAGGACGAAGACATTCAGGGACTCATCTAATCAGTTCTTTCAGTGGCTTTGTTTGTGTAACATATATAAGATTTATCATGTCTCTTCTAAAGGAGGTTTTCTTTATTAAACAGATCAGCTGTGTAAGTTTTACACCCATTTTTTTGTGATGTTTCCAGGAACCACAAAGCGCTCGTCCCTCCAGGGGGAGGAGAAGGCCTCCTCTGGAACCTTGACCCTTCAGAAGGGCTCGAACTTTAACACCATGCCAGCCAGCATGGCAAAGGTTCACCTCCAGAACGTGGCTGACTACACCAGCCACACTCTGACTCTGCGCAGAGACAAAGGTACCACCAAGGGAATCAGCACCGAGCTCCCGGGAGCTAAATCGATCTACATCTGTGATGGGGAGCTCTTCAAGCAGCTGGATGGAGATCTGCCCCGAGGGACCGGGGAAGGCAGCAGCTCCAAGGGCACCGGAAAAGGCCCGGGGTACGTCATTCTACCGACAAACAATACAGGTACCCTGAAAGTGTCCAAGACGAAGGAGGATCAAACCGCCAAGTACAACATGGGCATTGAGCAGTTGCCTCAGACCAGACTAATCCATCTAGCTAACCCAGCGAGTGCAGAACCAGTCCCTGGCTTCGGGCTAAAGAGCCTACCTACTGAGCAGGTCAGCGTGGCCTGCTCTGACAGAGACTCACCTGCACACAACCTGCAGAATGCGCCCAGAGACTCCCAAAAGACCAGCAGCTCGGCTGATGGCGGGGAGTCCGGAAACTCTGGCGTGATCTCCAAAAGTGAAACTGTGTCCACTCTGTCCATGAGCTCACTGGAGGTAAGACCACCACGCCCACCAGCACAAATCGCTTTCTGTGACTCGTCTCATCGCTCCATGGGTTGAAAATCAGTTTTGTAAATCTAAAAATAAATTGCCTTCTATTTGAGATAATTCTCTGAATTTTATAAATGTTTTCTTTAAACAGCAGAGAAATGAAAGCCTGGCTCTTATTAAAGGCAGGACCAACCTTTACTTTTTATTTGATAAAATCCAAACATTAGTGCAACAGTATCTTAGCTTTGTCTTTGCTTCACCATTTACAGAGAATATCACATTTTTTACAATTATGGTTGCATGATTTCCTCATTCTGTTGATGGTTTTCCTTCAAATTCAGAGTGAGAAACATGTCCACACTGCCAGAGCCATCAGAACAATCTGCCTCTCAGTTTACCTGAAAAGCTGTTCAGAGTAAAGTCTGAACTATTTTTATTTGTACTAATCTATCGACCAAATTATCAATTGAACTAAATGTTTTTTCCCTCCAAGAATAATAATTTATTATTTTATTCATTTTGAAATATTCTAAAAGTCAATTTTGCCATTTACAGAATTCCATAAATGAAAGCTTCGAAAGTATTTTTTTAATTTAAATCTCTTTTTTTTTCACCAAAACCTCAGTTATTAGTGTCGACAGGGCTTCAAGCACATCTGACATTCAGTCTTTTCAGCACCAGCTTTACTCGGGAATCTTTACAAAGTAAGTGGCAGTTGCTGATGGGTAGAACAATGTTTCTCAATATTTGAGTGTTTGTAAGTCACTTTGGGGGGAAAACAAACAAAACAATTAGTTTGAATGAATGTATTGTAAAAAAAACTATCTGGATTATAACAGAATGGTGACTTTCACAGCTTATCCTACTGTTCCCAGTATCCTGATGGCTTTGGTTCTGTAGAAATAATTATAATTCATATTTTAGCTACAACATGCATAATTCTGATTCTATAAAATACTCAAAGTCACTATGCTTTATACTCAGTGCTTAGAAATGTAACAACTTGTTACTTTAAATATCTTCTTTTTTTGGATTTTTCTCCCATTTCTCAGAAATTTCTCTAATAAAACAGAAAAAAGCTGACAAGCTTTTTTGTATTATTCATGAATGATGCCATATGTTATGCTACATGGATTCTACACATTTCAATTGAGAATTGAAATAATAATTAACAATATAATTACTTTCTATAATTATTTTTTGTGCCACGTTCATGTTTGACCAACACATCATTAGACTATGATCACCAGGAAGATTTTCTTTACTAAAGTGATCATTAATCATGAGGATGACTAAAAATAACAGTAATTAGGGTCCGACTCAGAAACACAGTAACATCTTTTTTATTTCTTCATTTGCTGTTTTCATCCATTATTTGATGTTTTCACTTTTCACAAACAGCATCAGAAGAAGCGTCCCAGATTCTTGTGGGCCCAAGTAGCAACAGCAGTTTTGAAAAGGTTAGCTTTATTTCAGCTCCAACTACAGACAGCGGGTAGGAGAATGAGACGACACGACGGTCAGCACAAAGTGGGTCGGACATCTGCCTGCTGGTGTCTTTTTCACTCCGGGGCTAAACACAGTTCTGTAATGGCTTGTGAGGCAGCAGCTGCCAGAGGAAGTAAGCGGCCTGAAGGTCAGGCTTTCCTTCCCTGACAGGCAACCTAAAGGTCACCTGGTCACAATCTGTTAGCTGCAAACCTTTTCCAGTGGGGTCAGAACAACCAGTAGAAAACCTTGTTTTGTTTCCCATGACTCACTCCTCTGAGTCCCATCTAGACAGGTTGATGCACAATGAGTATTTCTGCTTACAAGGCGCACAATATCAAGACACAACTTTAATCTCTTTGTCTCATCTCCCACCAGAGACGAAAATCACGCTATGCTGAGCTTGACTTTGAGGTAATTGTAGTCTCTTTGATTCCTACAAAGATTCTTAAACATAGACTGAAAAGCTGATGTGTTCTCCCCAGAACTCCAAAATTTGTACACAAATAGTAGGTTGCAAAAATATTAATTCCTCTTGCCATTTTTTGATTTTTTACTTTTCCTTGTCACTTGGGATTTATTTGAAATTTTAGTTTGATTAAAGGCAACAATTCTACAAAAACACTTCAGATTAATAAAATTTGGTTGTTACCTTGTTACCTGCTGGAACACCTCCCAGAATAAACATGTTTTTGTAGTACGGGTTACAACCAATCAAGAGAAGCTTCATTAAATATGTTTTTAGGAAATGAAAATACCCCTTACGGCCCCTCCTGCAACTGCAACTCCATGTTGATCATTCAGGTTGAGACTGAATGGACCCCATGGCTGGAGGCCCAGTCACCAGGTGCTCGTCAAAAGCCCCCTCCCCCAGGTTTGACTCTAGGGTAGAGTCAGTGAGCCAAGTCCAGGTGAGGGACCCTAAGTTTTGTTCTGTCCAAATAAATGTTGTGAATCATGTTTTTGTCACGCCCATCACCTTGGACCAGTCTGTTTTGGGAGACCTCACAGGGATGAATGCTCCTAGAATCAAGCATGCAAGCTCTTCCAGCAGAAGATAGAGCTGAGTTGCAAGGAAAAGTGCCTTGTTTACTGGTCAGGCTTTGTTCCTGCCTTCACCCATGGTCACAAACTCTGGATAGTGACCAGGAGAACAGGTACTTATATACAGGTGTTTGATATGATCTGTCTCTTCTGAGTAACTGGACTCTCCCTTAGAGAAAAGATGAAAAGTTTGGTCATCCAGGAGAGACTCAGAGTGACTGCTCCTTCACACTGAAAGGAACCAGGTGGTGGTTTGGGCATCTGGGTGACCTCAGGATGCTTCCTTAAGGAGGTGTTATGGGGGACATTTCCACTTGGGAGGAGACCCCATTGACTAAGGACACACTGGAGAGACCCCTCAGCTGACCTGGGAATGCCTTGGAGATGCTGGAAGAGTTGGTTATTGAAAACGATTCCTGGACCTTTATACTCATTCTGCTGCCAATGAGACCTGACTTCAGAAAAAGCAGCAGATAATAAATAAAAAATGTGGAAGAAGGTACTATGGTACCATGGGACCAAAATTAAACTTTTAGACCCTCATCAATGACATCATGACTGAGGCAAACCTGTAACCATGCTGACAACACCATCCCCACAGTGGAGTATGGTGGTAGCAGCATCATGCAGTGTGGTTAGTTTTATCAGCAGTTAAAGGAAAGATAGATAGATGGAGCAAAATAAAGAGAAACTTAAAGAAATCTCCAGAGTTTTGAAAGTGGAACGAAGGTTCACCTTCCAGCAGGACAAGCACCCTAAACTCACAGCTACAGCGGCACTCCAGTGCTTTAAGGAGAACAGACTATATTTCCTTGAATGGTCGTGGTAAAGTCCAGAGCTTAGTCCAACTGAAGATCTTCAAACATTGTTGAACACAAGCAGCAGCTGTCCAACTAGAAGTAGGAGTTTTAGCTTTTTTTTTTTTTTTTTTTGGGGGGGGGTATTTAAATCAAGTTTCCCTCCATTTACCTTAGTTAATCTGAAGTATTTTTGTAAACCACTTCTAAACATTAAAAATCTGTTTAAATTCCCTGTTGTGAGGCGCAAAACAGAATGATTATCAAGAAGGATGAATCCTTTTGCAACCCACTGGTAATGTTTCAGGTTTGATTGTACTGTTGAGCTGAGGAGGAGGGGAGACTAGAAATGATGGAAGCCTGCGGTGTTTGCCTTGACCGTAACGTACAATGTTCCTGTGCAGAAAATAATGCACACCAGGAAACGGCACCAGGACATGTTTCAGGACCTGAACAGGAAGCTTCACAGTGCAGACAAGGACAGAGAGTCTCCACCTGTTGATGCCAAAGCTGCCAAAAGATGGAGTGTGTCCTCTACCGGCAGTGACAAGAGCAACATGAGTGTAAACAGATTTTATTCTATTCTGCCTCCTTCCCCTCCAGCATTGAATGTTTTCCTTTCCCTACAAATGCAAATTAATACATAAGAACCAAGTTTCTAGGTTGATAATAAATGCAGACATGTTAAAGATTATCATTTTACTGGCTTTCTACTTAATTGCCAGAATAAAATAAGTGATGTAAGAGTCGTAGGTGTGCATGTAAACTCACGCCAAAGATCAAAGCCCACCTAATTGGTGCTATTCATAAAGTTGATGGAAAAGTTTCATAAATGTAAAATAGTCCCCTTTAATGAAATACTGCATACAACATGGGCAAGATGTTGTACTTACACAACATAATATATATGATGCTGTATAGATGAGGACTCAAATGCAGGCTGAGGTGCAAACTGAGGTGAAAACAGGTGAGGCAACAAACTAAAATGAGGATGTGTGGCAGTTCATTCAGGTAAAGTCTATCTCAGAACTAATTTCGGGTTGTCTGACAAGACTAAACATCACATGAGAAAAAAATAAATATATTACTTACAAAAGAGCACCTGGAATTATAAAAACATCAGGAAAAGAAATTTCCCTTGTGTGAGGAGCAGGGCCTCACTCTCACTCTGCACACGTTTTGAATAAATTCAAAAAATTGTGAAATGTGTTTTCTTTCTAAAATAAAAAAAGAGTCTTTATGGATGTCTGAAGCCCACATTGATCCCATCTTAATTTAGTTTTTGTAGGTCACAAAGTTTGAAAAATGTGTAATAACCTTTGGCAACATATGAAACCAAATTGTGACTGATTGGAGACAAAAGTGGACAAACTGCAGAAACTTTGTGAGTGAATTGTAACATAAATTTGCATGTCCTTTGTTGCAGCAGAAATGTTGGTTTATTTACAGTTCTGAATGTTGTAGATGTTTTGTAAATACCAACTCAGTGTAGTTCCAAGAGAAAATTTATGTATATTCTCACCAGTTTGTGTTGATCAACTAGTCAGTAAATCAGATGGTCTCTGCAGGGTTTTGGCATTGGGGCATTAATAATGGAGTGGGCTCCCTGTATGCATAATATGTATCTAGATAGGTTGTAGCGGGTTCTGAACTTGCAGTGAAATGCTGCAGGGGACAACCTAGGACAGCTATGTTAGTTGTACAGTCATGCAAGCATTGCATAACCTTCTAGAGCATAGCTGCATCCTGGTGATGTTGTAAAGGGCTTTGTACAGTTGTGGTAGAACAACACATGGTAGAATTTTTCAAAAGGATGTGGTACTGAGGTCACAGACAAGTGTTTTCTCCCTCACCTTTTTGACTTTAAAATGATCTTATCACTCCTGGTAATCAGACAATAAATGAGATTTTTATCAATTCTAATGTAAAATTTTATCAACAAACTAAAAATATAAAAACATTTTATTTTCTAGACCCACATAACCTCATGTTTAGTATGGGTTTGTTATAGCTTCACCCTCTTAGCTCAGTAAAATTATGAATTAGCTAAATGTCACACAGATGTTTCCACTAGCAAAACTAACTACTATTTTTATTTCTAACATTATCTTACTAATCAGCCATTTGTGGAGAAGAAGAGACATAGAAACACATGTTAGTTCTTAAACATGCTGCAACTCTCAGGTTGAGAATCTTTAGACATTAACTCACAACTTGATGCTTTTTTTATTCGGAGGGCTGCAATGTGATTTCAAAACAATTATAGATGCATTTCAACCTAACTTGAAACATACACTATATTACCAAAACTATTTGCTCACCTGCCTTGACTCATATATGAGCTTAAGTGACATCCCATTCCTAATCCATGGGGTTCAACATGACGTTGGTCCACCCTTTGCAGCTAAAAAAACTTCAACTCTTCTGGGAAGGCTGTCCACAAGGTTTAGGAGTGTGTTAATGGGGATTTTTGACCATTCTTTCAGAAGCACATTTGTGAAGTCACATACTGATGTTGGACAGAAGGCCTGGCTCTCAGCCTCCGCTCTAATTCATCCCCATATATATATATAGGGCGGCACGGTGGCTCAGTTGGTAGAGCTGATGCCTCTCAGCA